AGGAATGAGGGAAGAAAATATTTTAGGTGGAGAGAGAATTGTGTAAGTTTCAGTTAATTATCAAGAGTTTGTTGACTTCAACCTGTAGCTTGAAACAAGGAAATAAACTTAAGCTGTAAGACTATGCTCCAAGAAGTTCTGAATTCCATATACTTGTTGGACTGCATTTTATTCTATTCCCAAGATTAAAGCAGAGTTAAAGCCATAAATGGGTGTGTATTGTTACTAGCTTACATGAGCAGCTACTGCTTTTCAGCCATGGGTAAAGCTAGTTCTGTAAGTTTGTGTTTTAATAAATTGTTTCAGAATCCTCCACTCCTGAAAGATGCCAAAGAATACTCAATACTTGTAAATGCCGTTTACAAACATAATTTATAAACAGAATGCAGGGACATGATATTCCATGACACACAATGTTGAGAAGTAGAACGAGGTAGATGAAGTGAAGACGTTGAAAATATGGGCAAAGCAATACATTGACATGTGTATATGTATTTGTCACGGTGTATGACTTCCCTGCCTTACAGAGACAAAGTATTTGTCAGGGCAGGAGCTGTATAATACCACTCTGCCTATGGTATGCTGCACTGTAGGCAAATGATTTTTGTATTCCTTGGAGTTGTGTGTCTGCATGTGTCAGCATTTATAATGCTAATTCAACAAACATCAAGAAGTGCTGAGGTGCACTTAAAAGGAAACCTGCCAGATGCTAAAGGTGTTGCTACCATGGGTCTTCTCAAAGTTTTCATTTGCATACTAGAACACTGTTAATAAAAGCCCCAAAATTCATACAAATATCTGAAGTTTGTTATAACAGAATTCATTGTGGCAGGTATTGATGTTGCATTGGATACAACATTTTCCACAATTGTTTATCAAATGAAGTTCTCTTCAGTCAGCAAGAATTATTGCTTTGCGGTGTGGAAAAACTTGATGTATGTTTTCACCTTCTTTTGTTTAGGCTGATCCATGGAATTGGAAGGTCAGGTGATATTTCTGCAGTCCAGCCTAAAGCTGCAGGGTCGAGCCTTTTGAACAAACTTACTAATTCCATTGTTCTGGACATTATAAAGCTGGCTGGTAGGTGTAAATTTGAAAAAAATTATAAAGCTGGCTGGTAGGTGTAAATTTCAAAAAAAACCTCTGTTGGTTTTGGGGGCATGTCATGGGTTCTTCATGTTAATTTCTGACTTACTTTTTCCATACAGGTGTCCGGTCAGTGACCAATTGCTTTGTGGTTCCTATGGCAACTGGCATGAGCCTAACTCTGTGTTTTTTAACATTGCGGCACAAGAGACCAAAGGCAAAATACATTCTCTGGCCACGTATAGACCAGAAATCTTGCTTTAAGTCAATGATCACTGCAGGTAAGGAGAAACTGACTGATTACACAGTGTGTGTTCTTCTAATACATATGAAACTTCAACTATCAGAGTGATCAGTTCATACCCTGGCAGTAAAATTCAGAAGAGGCCTAATAATGCCTAGTAGTTCAAGGTGCTTTATTTCTACACTCCTGATTTCTAACATGCAGTCACATGTATGAGTTGTCTTCCTGATGCCTTGTAAAATGCAGGTGTATGCTGAGGTACAGATGTGTAAAAGAGAACACAGTACTAAGGAAGTTAGAGTTCACTCTCCGAGTAAGATGCCTGGTTTGCTGTCCTGAGAATTATGTAAAACCAAAGCTCACTGTCCAAACTTCTCTCCCTTAAATTTGTGCAAAAAAACATATCTGCACTAGGAATTGTGATCAGAAGGTGACAATCTGATTTGCACAATCTTTTCTGTGAGAAAGAATCTGTTAAAACAACAGAACAAGAAGTTTGTTCAGATGTATAATGGAACTAAACCCCCACAGTCAGAGATTTGTTGGGATACGTTCAGGTGTTGCTTTTCTTTGGTCAGGTTTTGAGCCTGTGGTCATAGAAAATACATTAGAAGGTGATGAGCTACGGACAGACCTCGAAGGAGTGGAGGCCAAAATCAAGGCTCTTGGTGCTGAAAATATTCTATGTGTGCATTCTACAACATCTTGCTTTGCTCCAAGGGTACCTGATAGGTAAGCAGTCTTTGTAAGAAGTGTGTTACTTGTTACTGTAAAAAGCAAACGAAGAAACAAACCCCACACACCAGCAAAACCCAACCAACCAACCAAAGCCTCCATGTTTTGAATGTCCATCTTCCTAAAATTGCTTGTGCCAGCAATGTGTAAAGATATTTTAATCCTCTTGCTTAAACAATGTTCCACTTTTAGAAAAGTATATTAAAAAAGTGCGAATAATGCAGAAGGCTTTCCTTCTGTCATATAACTGAAGTTAATGATGATCTCTTGTGGCGAAATTAATGTCATTTTGGTAGTGATTTTTCGTCTAATTTCATGGAATTATTAAAAGTAGACTGGCCTAGAGGCATAGTTCAGGAAATGTAGCTCCATAGCTAATGCCACGTTTTAATGTTACTGTTGCCTTTTCTACTCTTCTCCTCCAGCCAATGATAAATTTTCCTAGGCTGTTAATACAGTTACACAAAAAAAAAAAGCTGCAGCTAAAATTAAAATGTCTGAGTTAGTCTTTCCTGTATTATACTGATGTTTATAGGGGTAATTAAGATACACTGATAAAGGGAAACTCTTGGAAGCATCTAGGGCAGATGTGCTGTATGAGAGTAACACAATTTGTCCTGCTGTAACTTACCAAGTTTGGCCATTTGCTGCCTGATTGCATGATGATGCTACTTAAAATTGCCAGCTGTTAAATCACCATTAAAACAAAATACATTGCATTCTTTTCTAATATTATGTGTCCATATAGGTAACTTCTGTAGTTGCTAAAAGGGTATCATTCAAGCTCTAGCTGAAGCAGACATGAGCATTGTAGTTATGGATGGGAAATAATATCTGAGATATTATTTCATACTGTGCATTGGTTATGAAATACTTCTCAATTCGAAAGTGACATGTTGGAGTAGAGTTGCCTGAAGTAGTTGACATACTGAGTCATTTGTCCAAAATGAGCATTGTTGTTGCTTGCTAAACCCTGCCTTCTCTATCTGCTTGCCAAAATAAGTATCAGCCTATTCCTTAGGTTTTACAATTGAACAGGTATATTTTTATGGGTTTGTGTGCTGAAGTAGGAGATATTAATGTCTTTTTTTTTTTTTGCATGGTTTTAAATGTAGTGTCTTAATACTTTCAACTGTTTTTAATTCATCACAAAATTGAAAAGACTTCCTCTGCAATGTGTGCTTCTTTGTTAATTACTTTGTAACTTGGAAGATTTGGTTGACTATTTGCAAGTGTAGGAAAGAAATGTTACTGACTCTGAAATGAG